GCAATTGTTAACAATCGTTTTTGTGGTTATGTTAGTGGCGGGTTTGCCAGGTATTATTTGGCAAATTTTTCACATTTATCTTATCAATAAATGAATTAGTTATGAATATTAATAAATAACTATGAATATAAAGTAATAATGTTGTGTTTTATATTAGTTCGACAACGTTTTCAGCCTACTTTTTGCAATTGTTAACAATCGTTTTTGTGGTTATGTTAGTGGCGGGTTTGCCAGGTATTATTTGGCAAATTTTTCACATTTATCTTATCAATAAATGAATTAGTTATGAATATTAATAAATAACTATGAATATAAAGTAATAATGTTGTGTTTTATATTAGTTCGACAACGTTTTCAGCCTACTTTTTGCAATTGTTAACAATCGTTTTTGAGGTTATGTTAGTGGCGGGTCTGCCAGTTTTATATGGCAAATTTTTTACATTTATCTTATCAATAACTGAATTAGTGATGAATATTAATAAATATTAATAAATGCCCATGAATATAAATTAATAATGTTGTGTTTTATATTAGTTCGACATAGTGAAAGTTGTGTTTTTTGTTTCATAAATTAGTGGCGGGTCTGCCAGAATTTATTTGGAAAATTTTTTACATTTATCTTATCAATAACTGAATTAATGATGAATATTAATAAATAACTATGAATATAAAGTAATAATGTTGTATTTTATATTAGTTCGACATAGTGAAAGTTGTGTTTTTTTTTTGATAAATTAGTGGCGGGTCTGCCAGAATTTTTTACATTTATCTTATCAATAACTGAATTAGTGATGAATATTAATAAATAACTATGAATATAAAGTAATAATGCGAAATAAATGTGAAAATAATGAAATCAATTAGTTGTAAGCCCAAACATCCAAGCTCTGTCTCATATATATTAATTAATATTGATTCTAAAATTGTAAGTTGAAGAGTGTCAAATGATATAAGACTTGATTTGTCTTTTGCCCAGATTTTTCTGAGAATATAGGGAAAGGCTTGAAAATCCACAACAATGCATTTAGCATATCTAGTGCGCTTGAAATTACACATGATATATTAGTTATTATAGAAGAATAGAAAGAATGCTAAACAAAGTCATTTTGAAAATATATATTCAACCCCTGAAAAAAAAATACAAATCGACAAAAATATAATTTACGCTTTTATATATAATATTTATAATTTTAACAGATTATACATCCATGTATATTATTAACCATCGGAATTTGCGGTTCCATTCTACTATTAGCGCCCTGGCCGCCGCGATGGTTTTTCTGCCCACCGTGGTTGCTTTTGCGGCCGCCGCGGTTGTTTCCGCGGTCATTTCCGCGGCCGCCGCGTTTGTTTACGCGGCCGTTGTTGCCTGTAACGCCGCCGTTGTTGCCCGTACCGCCGCCGTTGTTGCCCGTACCGCCGCCGTTGTTGCCTGTACCGCCTGGGTTGTTGACCATGCCGCCGCGGTTGTGGCCCCTACCGTCGCGGTTGCAGCCCCTACAGCCGCCGTTGTCGCCTGTATCGCCGCGGTTGCTGCCTGTACCGCCGCGGTTGTAGCCCGTACAGCCGCGGTTGTTGCCTGTACCACCGCGGCTGTTGCCTGTACCGCCGCGGCTGTTGCCTGTACCGCCGCGGTTGTAACCTGTACCGCCGCTGTTGTAACCTGTACCGCCGCTGTTGTTGCCTGCACCGCCGCGGTTGTAGCCCTTACCGCCGCCGTTGTTGCCTGTGCGGCCGCGGCTGTTTCCTACGCCGCCGCTCCAACCCGCATCGTCTGCGGACTAAAATAATAATTAATAATATTAAAATAGCTGATTGCTATGCATTTATGTATTATTATAAAAATTTAACATTACCTTTTTATAACTATATAATCTTATTTGATTATCTTTGAAAAAATGGAGGAAATATTCCTCCACGTTTTCCCTGTCTTCGTAAATAACCGGCAGGAGAGATAACACACGCTCCTCCTTTTGATACATCAATTTTATTGTGTCGAAGCATAAACCAACCGCCTTCATTTTGTAACCTATTATATAAAAAAAACTTATAATGAAAAATCCCTTAGCTATATAATATGTAAAAATATATGATTGTAGGTTAAGGATTTTTGTCAAACAAAGACAATGCAAAATAAATGAGATTTAATTGAATAAATTATTATATTTTAACCATTTTCATAAAAAAAATTAGGTTTTAAATGTTAGTCCCGCCTTCGCTGATAGGCCACGCCCACGAAACTGTCAAATACCTGAGCCTGCCATTTGTGAGTCTGCCAGTTATATACTCGTAAAAACTGAACTAGTATGTTAACCCAAGGTACTGAAAAGTAAAGTAATTTGAACTTATCCTATATACGCTCTATCATCCTATGATACCTATATCCACAAATAAATAGGAGAAAATAATACTAATGATATAATTTAAGAACACTACTCACACAAAAATTAAATAAACCTAGTCTAACTTCTAACTATTTCAGCAACAAAATAAATACACATACAGATCGAGAAGCCGGAAAATTAACAATGATTACAACATGAAAAACGTGATATTTTTATGCGCGAACCCCAATTATGTTTGACAGACTTGAACAGACAGACAGACCTAACTTCACAGCGTTTTTACACACAAACTCCTGCTGTTTGTTTTTAATCATTCATGTTTCATTCATGTAATTGTTTGTTTTTAATTCGAGAACATATGAAATGAATAAACGTAAAAATTTCGCTGGTTTGTCTAAGAGAACTAGGCAACAAATTGTAAAGCAAAAGGTTGATGATTTTCAAAAGTTTGTGAATGGAATCGCGAGAACAATACTGCTTTTTCTTCAACTAGTGGTACAAGGGGTACTAGTTTAGTTTGTCAATTGAAAATCGGGTCTCGTAATGCGTTATTCTTAAAAAGCTTTTTTGGAATTATTCTTAGTGACCTAGTAGTTAGGTATCTGCATATGAATTATTATGGGTTTATGGAATAAAATAAAGTAAGAAAATGTACGAAAAACATAACTTGAAAAATTGTAACTATCTAGTAAATTATATTTAATTTAAATAATATTGTATCTTGCGTTTTCCTTTGGTAGAGGTTTGCATGGCAATCCATCACATAAAAGTATAACTCGTGTTCCAGAAAATCGAGAAAATGGTGAGCGATTGGCTTTTTTTTTATTAATTTGTAAATATACTTACATGCGCTACTATTTGAGCTTACACTTACGGATACTCTCAGATATTAAATAGTTCATTTGTATGTGCTACTATTTGAACATTCATAATTTTATTTGTTTGAGATTCTTGTTGAACAAAAATTAATCTTAAAGATCTGCGCATCATTTCAAGTACAAAAAACTATTCAAATTAAATATTGTATTGTTGATGTAAAGTGCCGGTAGTTTTCTTAAATTATGTTTTTTATATTAAATATGAGTCGTCTTTGAATATATAAAATTTGTTCAAATGTATAGCGTTTGGATAGAAATTTTAATTGCTGAATGCTAGGAAAGCAAATTGATAAATATTAAATAACAGGGGAAAAATGAGAATATGGTGATAGTAGTGTTATATATGAAATAATATGATAATAATGAAAAATTACGTAGATGAAACAAAATATAATGGACTATTGATTTAAAGTAAAAACGCTGTTATTAATTATATTAAAGCAGTTAAGAAAAGAATTTATAGATATAATTATCTTAATTTATCAACAATAGATCGTGAATGTGGGTTAATACTAATAACGACTGCTAATATCATGATATCAAATTGCTATTTTATAGCCCCACATGAAAAACTAATAAGTATTATTGGAAGTGAAACAATTTAAATGTTTAGTCATATTATTTCAATGCAAAAGAAAGTCTTAATGTGATATAAAGCAAATGATGCATAGATTTGCTTCTCCATGAAATAACATGTGTCTAAAACATGTCATGAAAAAAGTCAAACTTGGCCCAGACAAATAAATATGTATATAATAATTATGATTCAAATAACAAATGAGATGGGATCAGAACATTAATCTTGGAATTTTTAAAATTTTGGAGTATTCGTTTAGAATACCCAAATTCAGATGCGATAATGCCTAGAGGAAATGGATTTTTAATGACCATTGTGATACCAATACTAACAATTGGATTGATACGCCAGACTGATGACTATCTTGAAACATCTGTTTAGTAGGAAATTTTGCGAAGCTTTCAATCTAGTCAAAGATCTTCAAAATTATCTTACTGATTGTGAAAATAGTTTTTGACCAAATAGAAAGAGCATGGGCATTAGAGATTATCGATTTTCATATAATTACACAACGTGTTAAATAAAATGGTAGTCTTAGTTTAGTCAAAGACTTTTAAATCCGTGACAATCACAATCAAAGACAAAAGAAAGATATTTTAATACTCGCAGAAATAACTCAGTTATGATGACAAAATCTTGGAACCTTCATATGACTTACCTGATTTCTGGGACAAGTTATTTCCGATCTTCGACAAATTATTTATTGGTTTAACATACATCACCAAATTTGTGAAGTCATATGATGGGAATGGAGACATGAGATGCAGCATGGATATTATAAAAATAAAAAGTGAGGATGAATAAAATCGATCTCGTAGTCACTCCACGATATTAACAATTTGTATTGACAATTGCAAATGTTGAGAAAATTTTGGAGGATAATTAATTACTATTTACCCAAGCAATAAAATACATTTAACTAATTTTTAATGTTCAAAAGGCAATACATCATGAAATGCGTAAAATGTAATAGTATTGTTTTTGTTTTTGACCAATATTTCTAATTAACATTCTAACATAATAACAATACATACAAATTGATATATCAATGTGGTAATTTGATTGTAAAATTATATAAATCAATTTAATAATATAATTACAATCATTATATATAATAATATAAGAGCACATATTATATCTTTGGTATGTATAGGTAAAACAAAATATTTTGTCTTATAATTATACATTCACATGTTTCTACTTACCACCATATTTTTCATATACGCATATTTTGCGCGGCATAAGATTTATTTTTGAGCATACAAGATGCTGCACATTTTGTAGTAGGTGAAGTTCCTATTTTTATATGTATTAGAAACAAAAATACTTTATCGATATTTTCTGGTTCTTTATACATTCAATTTTTTGTAATATTTTAATATTAGATTTATTTTCTTTTTATGTTGTTGTTTGTGCCATGCAAACGCTAGTGGAATATTTTATTTTTAATATCTGAACGATTTATAAATACCACTTTACCAGCAAGTGCACTACTTTTATTTCAATTTAATCTTTCACATGGTATTATTTCATAAATTTTTTAAGTTACTATATCAAGTTATGTTTATCGAACAAAAAAATATTAGGGTTTCAATAAAAAGAACTTCTCCACGAAACTGCTGATCGGTATATATTTTAAATTCACAGCTAGTTATATTTATGTTAAACTCTATTTGAAGAGAGTTTACCAATTCAATGTAAGTTTCCTCTAAGCAGGTTTTTAATTCTTCAAATAGAGTTTAGCAAATGCAAACAGGGACAAAACGAGACTGTAAAAATCTTTGCTTTTAGACTACAAATGAATGTTTTGTATTGTGTGATTTGCATAGCCCTACCTTCTAGGTTAACTTGTATGATAAATTTAATAGTGCTTCATGCTCAGTTGCATCTATACTTTCAAAAACATAAGTACAAGTATGCAGAAATTCGTTTAATTTGTTCTGATTCGGCTCATCAAAAGTTTTAACAATATCCATGGCTTTTTGTAAGGATAAAACTGTTGTGGGAGCCATGTCCCACATGTTTTGATTGTTTAAATCAAAATGTAATGAAGGTAAAGATGAAAACTTGGGATTTGTACGGGATTGGGGAGTGACGTCTACTTCACTATTAAAAACTGCGTTAACCAAATCAAAATTACTACTGTCACCTGAAATAAATGAAACGCGGTTCTCAAATATGGACTCTGTTGATCTGCTAATAACACGTTCCTGCGGTAGTACAAAGTCGGTTGCAGCAGGTATTCTCCACATCAATCAATCAACACTAAATTATAACATATGAGTTAGTTACAAGCATAAAAATGTGCAAACCAAAAGAAAATTCTCTATTTTCTTCTAATTACATGTTCAGACATTGGTTGAATGATAATAAAATATAACAAATATAAATCATACAACAAAGTCATATATTATTCTAACGTCTGTAACAGAAACAACCACAAGATGGCTTCTGAACTTGAATATAAAGTAATACAAAATATAAAATATAATTTAAAATAAGTATAACTATTTACATCTAATATCCAAAGCTATGAGTAACGTTTTGAGGCAGAGCTTGATTTAATCACAAAAATAATGATTGAGCATTTAAGCGAGGTATAAAGGGAATAAACTTTGCAAAATATAAGTTTTTCCTATCATTTGTCAGTCAATATCTTTATGCTTGAATCAAGTACTGGTTGAAAACATTGATTGTAGCCTTCGGCTGTCAGATGCATATAATCATACATCATTCCTCGGGCTGACACCTTCTTCATTCACAATATTTTCATGTATCTGCACTACATGAATATTTTATCTATTGAAATTTAATTTGTTGAATTTAATTAATAGAGTATTAATTTCCCACAGGCAATCGCGTTGGCCATTTGGTATTCTTCCTCTCGGGAGCATGGTCGGTACAATTATGTGGTCTCTCGGAAGTATTTCTCCAATGACATACACAATTAATAATTCCTTCATAAATATCATAATGTTGGTTATGTTCTGTGTTGTTGGTTCCAATCAATATAACCACTATTTTTGTTTCCGGATTCGAAAATTTGCCGTTTTTTATACGATATAGAACATTTTTCACTTTATCGCCTCCAATGCCGAAATTGGCAGAATGAAATGGTTGAAACTTGGTCCAATTGGGATGTCTGACCCTCCTGCAATAAGGGAGGATCCAGTAACAATAACATCGTGATCAATTTTCGCCAATTTTAAATTATTTAAATGTTTTTGACGCCACGTTTTACTTGTTCTAGCAGTAGGGATGACGCATTTATTGATATTTTCAAACTTTCCAGACATAGTGAATAACTGCAATAAATTAATCATTTTGTTCCCGGAGAAAGAAGAGAATATCATTGTAAATTTTAATAAAAATGGTAAAATATTTTATAAAATATTCCAAACACTTGTTTGCTTATAATTAATTTGTATTTGTTGATAAATCAGGTTTCTATTGAAAAATACATTATATAATAATGAACTCTTCTGTCTGCTCGTTATTGATTTTTAGTTGTTAATAAATCTGAATCCATTGAAATTATTATATCCCCATTATCAATTAGCTGAAAATAATATAAATGAGTAGCATATTTTATATTTCCTGCAATATGAATTTATATTTTAAAACTTGTACATAATATCATAGCCTGTAGTATTTTCAATATAAATTTTTTTAGCTGTAAAATACTTTGCTTCTTCCCTCCGTTCCAGTCTCCAGACTGTGCTAAAACAACACTTGTGCGTTTGATGATATCAAGCTGTGTCACTTCAGGAAAATTAACTCTAATAGCCTCTGCAAATGATTTTTAATAAATTTGAATATACATCAGAAATTGTTGTTGAATACCTTAACATATAGCACATGATACTAAATAATAAACTCTTAACACATACATGTTCTATTATATCATTAAACATTAAATATGTGTGCGTGTGTGCGAATGAATAAAGCTATAATATTTGATCATACATACTAACAACAATATCACATAACATTAACGCCGAGAAGTCTAACTTGTTTTTCCGTCCTCTGGCTGAATATTGCATTGCTAGAGTTCTCGAAAAAACTTTTTTCATTACAGCTGTTTTCAGTAATAGTCTGGCCAACCATAGACAAAATGAACTACCTATCATGAACAACATCTAAGTCTGTTTTTACACGGAGATTGGTTCCAGAAAAAGCCGTGTAAAAAAAACGTGTAAAAAAAGACATGGATCTTATACAAAAATGGGTGATTTGTTTCTAATCTCTAAAACCTATTAAAATTAGTGAAAAACAAGAATTTTCAGGGTATTCCCCTAAATGAGTGCTGTTCATATCTGCTTTGACCAGTAAAAATTGTTTGTACGCGCTAAAGGGGAATTCACTTAAATCTTTAAGCTAGTGTTCGCAAACTATCGATACTGACTCAGACTTTTTTCTTTCATAAATACTTTTTTGTGATATGAACATACTTCGCAAAAATTAAATTTGACAAAGAAAATTTAAGTACATAAAATTTCAAATCGTGCTAAATGGAATAAAATCGTGTAAAAAAATTAAAAATATTCAATTTTCAAACCGTGTTATATCAAAACCGTGTACAAAAAGACCGTGTAAAAACAGACTTAGGTGTATATATATATTATAAAATTGTTCTTGGGCATCCATCCAGTAATTAAAAAGTTTTCATGAAAGAAAATGTTTTTATTCAGAGAAACGTACGTTTCGGGCCTTAATTTGACCCATCTTCAGTGCTACAAATAAATATTTCAGGGTTACAATTTAAAACAATATAAAAAATACATAATTACAGACAAAAGTTTAGCAATAAATAATGGAAAAAATTGTTTTAAAATGGCAGATGAAATTTCATATGGTCCTGAGGAATAAGAATTATTAAGTGAAAAAACTGCATGCGACAATTCCTTGGAGGATATAGGATATAGATAAAAGGAATTTGAATTAGTTTTTATTTTAGAAAAGATTGCATTTGAAACGACCGGATCAATAGTTATATTTGAAGTCAAATTAAAAGCTTCATTCACGAAAAAAATATTAAATGCGTTGGCAATTGATAGCTAATCATAAATTTTTATATTATTAATATCAAGGCATTCAATATTGGTAGAATTTGCTTTGAAGTTAACTTCCGATTTTATGAGTGACCACATCGCTTTTTGTTCAATATGAGAAGTGAAAATAATATTATCATTGTACTTAATTTTTGCTAGTTCACGTAAATCGTTGAAAATTTCTCTATATTTCAAAAAATAAATTATAAAACCAAAATTACTATTATGCTTGAATTCTCTTTCTAAACGCAATAATTTATTATATGAAATACATAGGCCTTGAGAGTACCACGTTTGAGTTTTATTAATGTTCATTTTATGTTTTGATATAGGAAAAGCAGTGTTGAAATTATGTAAGAAAGAATTTATAAATGTATCAAATGTAAGATCATTGGATTGATCCAACTTATTCCAACTCTCTTTTTCTAGTAGTTCCTTGAAAAATAATTTATTTTATATATTAAATTTTCTTTTATACCGATACGCATGGGAAGTAGAATTTACCGTAGGTATTAATTAACAAGAATTTACCGTAGATATTTTTGTGAAAAAATTATCAATACAATATGAGGAGTTAGTTATTCTCGTAGGGCCTTGAAATAATCCGAATGATTCCATGCTAAATTCGAAACAACTTGTCCGGTCTCTTTTGTTTAAATGGATTTTGAAGTCACCGCAAACAATTATTGAATTATATTTAATAAAAAGTTCATCTAACA